AACTGCGACAGGAGTCGCATGACTTGAAGCCTGGGGCACGAGGCATGCCCCGCACCAGGCAACTAACTAGGAAGTTATCCAACTATTGGAGAAGATGAGTACTACTAAGGCTACTAGAAGAGCTACAGCAAGGCTGGAGCACAAAGTTCCAACTACCTTCACTGGCGGCAAGAAGGAACTGAGGGTGGGGGGGAGTGCGCAGCTCCCCTTATAGCGCGATATAGAGGCGTCACTCCAGGGGTCGCAGCGGTGCTCTCCTCCTACGGATACTGCTAAGGGAAAAACGTCCGGCACTGGTGCACGTGGCGAGCACGCACACCTACTGTGTAATACACCTGAGCAATCACTCGAAGAAGAACTTTGTATTTATAAAACAGTGTGTATGGTGGATATGCGAGGAGGGCCGAGATTTTGCTCACCTGTCTTGCAGAGGTGATGGCGACAAGAAGGCCGTTTTCATTGATAGATGTACATAAGAACAGGTTGCCATTGGTTCAAACAGGGGCTTAGTCAGAGAACATAGGACTAGGCTGGGTTCCCAGGTCAGGATCAGGTCTCATATATGGGGATAGAGATTTTGAATACTCCTCAAGAAGCGATTTGTGAGCTGATGTGTAAAGATGGAGTGGCCGTCAATGGGGAAGTGAAAAGTAGTGATTGCCACTAAGTATATCTTAAGAGAGCTATTGGCCAATCCTGACTGTTTAAGGTGTAGAATGTAGTCAAGAGTAAGTGGCAATGAAGTGTGTGCTGCATCAATCTGGTATGAGGTGCAGCAGCAGTGAAATCTTGTCCACTTATGAATGTAAATGCTCTGCTCATGTCATGTCTGCTATTCAAAAGTATGTGTTTGACTGTGTCTGAGCAGGTGATTTCCAGACCCCGGAACCATGGAAGAGTCAGGCTTTGAGGTGGAGCATCTGTGGATTGGGAAGGAGAATGTGTCCTGTGTCTTGTGAGAGGAGCCCCTGCGTTAGGCGGAGAGAGATTGGTCAGCATACCATCAACGTAGAAGGTAAGTAGATCAGATATTTTGTGGCCATGTTGGAGCTATTAGTATGACATGAACTCAGTCCTTCTGTGTTTGTGAAGTACTCAAAATAGGAGGGGAAAGGGAGGGAAGGCATAAAGGAGTGATGTGTTACAGGTTATGAAGAACGTGTCTTCCAGAGATCCACATCCCAGTCCTGCTTTAGAACAGAATTGAGGGCAACGGGCGTTGTGTTGAGTGACAAAGAGATCTATGGTGGGATGGCCCCATCGGTTGAATATGAGCTAAAGTGCTCATGTATCCAGCTCCCACTCATGATTGTGTGAGAACGTCCGGCTCAGTGCATCCGTACTGCTGTTCTGGTGTCCCAGGAGGTACGTGGCTGAAATGCAGATGTTGTTCTGGATATACCAGTTCCACCATTTGATCACCTCTGAGCATAAAGGGTGGGACCTCAGTCTGCCCTGCCTGTTGATGTAATACAGCGAGATCGTTTGTCATCATGCTTATGGTATGATGTTTGAGAAGTAGGAAATGTCGGCAGGGATTGCGGACCACTCGTAGTTCTAGGAGATTGATGTGTAAGGTGGATTTGGTGGATGACCATCTCCCCTGCACTGTGTGTTTGTGTAGATGTGCCCCCCAACTGATTAGGGAGACATTGATGGTTAGGATCACAGTCAGTGATGGTTGTAGGAGAGGAATTCTAACACAGACGTTGCTGGGCTGTGTCCACTGTGACCTGGGGTGCCTAGGGTAGCCTTCACTGAAAATGCCAAGGTCATGACAGGCTGCAAAAAGGAGAGCAGATTCTCCTAACACTGGTGGTTAACACTGAAGTTAGACTCACCAACCTGTCAGAAATTGTGCTCCTGATCCCCCACATTGGTTGTCAAGAAGCTAAAAAGGAAATCACACAGCCCCCTTTATTGCATTCCAGTTCTCTGGTTCTCAATCAGCACATAGGTCCAGTAAAGTGAGAAGTTATTTAAAAACTCTGCTCACTATACAAAATGGTCTTCTGATCCACAAAGGGGCAGCCACTTTACCAGATCAAAATTAGTTTGGATCTTACCCAAAATATCACACTGCAAGCCAATCCTTCAGTATCTAAAACTAAAGGTTTATTATAAAATAAAAGAAAGAAGAAAAAGAGAGTTGTTAAAGGAGTCAGATACATACTTAAGATTTCAAAGTCCATATTTCAGGTTCTTAGCAGTAGTGGCAAGTTTTCTGGCTTGAAAATCCCTCTGGAGCACATCCACAGCTTGGATGGGTCATTCAGTCCTTTGTTTAATGCTTCAGTTTGTAAAGAACTGTTTGAAGAGAACCTCAGTTTCCAGAGGTTGGAAGCAGGATTGAAGACAAAACTGGACAAAACTGCCTTTTATATTCTTTTGCCATGTGGCTCGTACTCCATTTGTCCCAAACACAAACTTGCAGCACATGGCATAGAAAGCCTTAGAATTCTCTGTCCACAAGCATGCCCCTACATGTCTTGTTAATTCATAAGGTGTAGCCCCTGACATCTCTCAATTGGTTAATTGTATAGCTGATTGCCTTTGATAGGCCATCAAGGAGGCTGGATAATGCTGATGCCAATCTGTCTGGGACTTCACTTCCTCTGCCATCACATCTGACCCCTTCTCAATGAGTCCAATTAGCAGGCATTGCCAATGATGTTGAAGGTAGCTTAGGGAAACCAGAGTTGGAAGATTTTGGAGCCGATGAAGGCTGTGCTATGCTCTTCTTGGAATCCCAGCCTGGAAATTTGGGCGTTTCTGATTATTTTGCCTGCAGAGATTCCCACAATAGGACATTCTAGAGCAGGGGTCAGCGAATTACCCGGATGGGCTACGTGCCGAAAGTTGCGGACCCTGTTCTAGAGCTTCAGATGATGATTCATAGATTCATAGATTCTAGGACTGGAAGGGACCTCGAGAGGTCATCAAGTCCAGTTCCCTGCCCGCATGGCAATACTGTCTAGACTATCCCTGATAGACATTTATCTAACCTACTCTTAAATATCTCCAGAGATGGAGATTCCACAACCTCCATAGGCAATTTATTCCAGTGTTTAACCACCCTGACAACCTCCCTTGCTGCAGTTTAAGCCCATTGCTTCTTGTTCTATCCTTAGAGGCTAAGGTGAACAAGTTTTCTCCCTCCTCCTTATGACACCCTTTTAGATACCTGAAAACTGCTATCATGTCCCCTCTCAGTCTTCTCTTTTCCAAACTAAACAAACCCAATTCTTGCAGCCTTCCTTCATAGGTCATGTTCTCAAGACCTTTCATCATTCTTGTTGCTCTTCTCTGGACCCTTTCCAATTTCTCCACATCTTTCTTGAAATGCGGTGCCCAGAACTGGACACAATACTCCAGATGAGGCCTAACCAGAGCAG